ATATATATATATAAACAGCCTAGTGGTTGATGAGAGATTTTGTTAACACAGAGTCACAGGCAATGAAATGATGACTCACCTTTCATGGGAGGAGACTCAAAGTCTGATCTGCCTTTGATAACATCCATAATGTACCAAAAGTGACTGATAATTCCAAGTTCGTGTTCACAGTCCATACTGTACATTTGAGTGATTAATTATCTTGCAGTTCTTCTCAGGGTCTTGTTGCAAAGTTTAAAGATCAAGTCTGACTCCAGTTTGTCAAAAGAGATCAGTAGGAATTTATTTGCTTTAAATACATGAACGTACAGCTTGGTTCATTTCACTTCTTTATGCGTTTTGGCCATTACTCCACTCATCAGTCACCGACAATAAATTCCAAATTGAGTCTGACATACAGTGTTTTTTTTTTCTTCCTGATATTATATAAATACAACTCAGGAGTGTTTTGTGCTGCAGTTTCTCATGGCTTCCAAAGCTTTTTTCAGCTGAACCTGTGCCAGCTTTGCATGAAGCAGATTATGTCAAACAAAAGAACAGAGGTAGAAGCCATGTTTTGAAAACAAGGTGACTTCTTAACACTGCACTGATAATAAAAACAGCCCAAACTGTTCAAAATGATAAATGCACACAAGGAAATGACGAACACCATGTTGCATCCATTGGGCTGACAAATTTGGAAAAAAAGAAATTTAAAGAAATGTGCATTCAACATTGATAATGTTAAATAAAAACTCATCATATAGCAGAACAAATGATGAATTCAAAATAAAATGCAGAAAACAGAGAGTTACCAAGGGACATGTAAATACTGCACTGGTTGCTAAATCTCAYACATTCATCTGGACTTTGCACTGAGGCTTTTGCTTCCCAGTTGTTTGGCTCATGTGCTACATTTTTCCAACTTATGCAACTTTCCTGCGAGAATCTCAGTCCCATCACAGAACATTAAACCTACTGAGCTGAGATGAACAGTTTCACAGTTAAATGCATTTAAAGCTGGCGAACTTTGTTTAGGAAGCACCTTTGAAATGGTGATAAGCAAATGGAGCTGTCCCTGAATAACAATGGGAGTTTGCCATTGTGCACAAGTAATGGACTGCTGGAGAAGTAGGGGTTTATATCTTGACATCTCTTAATTTAGTTGCAGTTTGGGGGTTTGCATGATCACTTGACAAAAAAAAAAGAAAAAAAAAACATAAACTGACCTGTGCTCGGTTTTCTATTGTAAAATTGTGGCAATACGTTTATTTTTTTCATATAAATAATCCTACAAAAACAATGTCACCCATTCACACAAACAAACAGTCTCAGGAGTCTCTAAAAACATAAGAGATATACATACAAATATACATACATGCAAGTACACAAAAACAATAACATCTGCATGTAGAATAATAAACCTGAAATCATATATTTATATAAAACATATAAAAATAAAAGTCAAATTATGAGAAGTGTCATTCAAATTGTGAAGAAAACAAAACAAAACAGTAATCTCCATTGCTTTCCCACTTTGTGATGCCTCGACATTTCAATAAGTCTGTTTCTTTGTGAAAAAAACAAACAAAAACAAAACATTGTTCGCCTGGTCATGTCCAGAGGCCATTTCAAAGGCAGCCACAAGCAGAAGTTTAATACTGAAAAAATGTCCACAGACACAAAGAGGAGGGACAAGGTCCGTTGCTCTCTGGCCAGCCAGCGAGGTAACATGAAAACTACACATTTATCTATCTACACACTAAGTGATCTCTGACTGCAGGGCTTGGCGAGTGTGCACTCCCACGTAGGGGTCCGTTCACCTGCTGACCCCGATCAGTTCATGGAGACCTGCGTCATGTTAAAAATAAAGGGAAGGGTTTGGCTGGTCTCGTCAAACCAGGCATGCTCCACATCTGTGTATTCCTGCAATGTGGCCAACCATCTGATGAATAAATCAAAATATTCTATCAGATGAGGGATATGCATTTTTATTTTCCATTTTTTGGGGATGTTTTTATTGCCCAGATGTTTGAAACAAATGTCTATCTGGACATTCGTGAAATCATTGTTCTTATAATAAAAACAATGATTTCTAAGGGATTTTTTCAAAAGAACATTCAAAAAAGTGGTCATGTTGTTCAGGGTGTCAACTATATAAAAAAGCCACCTAAAATAGTTCGTTTTTTAAGTGATCATATTCTCATCTCATGATCAGGACTCTGGTCAAGTGAGGGTTCTCTGGTGCTGATCATAGATGCTGAGGGCCCCTGGTTGACTCCAAAAGGCGAAACAGCTGGAGATCGAGCAGCCAAAGGCGACAGTGATGGGGAGAAGCTTGGCGACATTGCTGCTGAAGAAATGGATCCCTCGTGACTGATAGGAGACCTGCGGAGTGAGGAAAGGTGGGGGAATGTCCGCCCAATCACAGGGGCTTTAGGGGGGACTGACATAGCCCCAGGGTGAGCCACTGATGTGATGAGTGGTGGAGGGTCGATTCTTGGTTTGGGATCCATTTTGGGCTTGGGCTGGAAGGGCTGCCGGGGGTTTTGACTCTGCTGAGCAGTTTCATCTTTTAGTCGAGCAATCTCAGTGAAGACATTGGCGAGAGGTTGGAACTGAGGGCACCAGTTGAGCAGGTAATCCCAGTTATAGCTTCCACGAAGCTCCTCATCGCTTGCAACAATAGCTGTTAGGGAGCCATCCACTGATGGTTTCCCATCCTCGGGGAAGGCGTAATCCTTGGGGAGGGAAATGTTCAGACCACGGCCTACTCCCAGGTAACCACCTCCTTCGTCCCTGTAGACTGGGAGCTGGCCAGAAAGCAAGGTCCCACTCAGACTGCTTCCCAGTTTCTTTCCTTTAAACCAAGTGCTGCCTTCCAAAGCAGCGGGCTCACAGGAAATGTCAGAAAGCTGGTCAGCATCCTGTTGGATTCCAGAGTCTGGTCCTCTGGCTGAGATGTGCTCCTGCATGGACGAGGTAATGGAGGCAACACGGGGGTACTCATTAATCATCCTGATCTCATCATCCTCTGCTGCCTCAGCTGAACCTCTTCCACTGGAGTGGGAAGGATCCAAAGAACCCCCTCGAGTGTAAGAACCACCAGGTCCACCCTGATCACCACCGTAACCTGGCAAAGTCTGGTGGTAGATGTTCTCGCCTCCTGGTCCAGCTTCATCCAGTCTTTTCAAAGCATTTTCTGATGCAAGAGATCTGTTTCCTGTATCCTGGCCCTTCTTCCTCTTGCGGGACTTGACAAAGAATATCACTATGGCCATGACTACGAGCAATATAATAAAGCCAAGAGACACAGCTATGATGCTGATAACCAAAGTGTTTACATCAGCAGCTAGACCAAAGTTAGTGTTTGTGACATCAATAGAGATCTGGGCTGATGTAGAGCGAGATGTATCCAGTGGACTGTGAGCTTTCACATCCAGGGTCATGACCCTGGTTTCCCTTTTGGTTCGTCCTGATCCGCTACTACTGCTATCTGAATTGTCCAACTTTAAAAAAATCACACCTGTTGTTTTGTTTACTTCAAAATATGGGGAGTTGGAAGTAAGAGAGTAGAGAACAATACCATCCACGCCACCATCCTCATCATTTGCTTGGACCTGGCCAATGCTCTGGCCTTTCTTGGCTCCCTCTGGTACTTCAAAAGAAAAATCAGTGGACGTGAAGAGGGGATCATACTCGTCCTCACCGGTGACAAACACCTGCACGGTTACAGTGGCTGAATGATTGCCTGAATCTACGGCTACTGCTTCAAAATTAAAAGAATTGATTTTCTCAAAGTCAAAAGGAATCTTGCTTTTGATTTCTCCTGAACTCTGGTCCACAGCAAAGCTGTTTTTTCCAGCTCCAGACCTCTCTATGATGAAGTACTTTAATTGACCAAACACCCCTGTGTCGTGGTCTATGGCATGAAGAACAGTCACAGCTGAGTTTGCTGGTTGGTTTTCTCGGATACTAGCTGTCAGGACTTCCACAGGGAAGAATGGATGGTTGTCATTTACATCCTTCACATCAACAATGACTGGAGCTAGAGCAAAGTGACCTTGCCCATCGGTGGCTTGAATAATGACAGTATGCATGGACTGGTGCTCTCGATCAAGTGCTTGCTGAAGTCTCAAGGCTCCAGTCCACTGGTCAATAGAAAATAAGTTCACCTCATCCCCAGAACTTATGGTATACTGGACTTCAGCATTGGGAGTTGAGTCTGGGTCTGCAAGAAGAAAACACAAGCACAATTAATTTACAGATTAACTAAAAATGAAAAGGAGTAGTAACAAAACAATGTAATAAAGACGATATTTGCCCACCTGTTGCTGTCAGTCGTATAATCTCGGTCCCAGAGGCAGCTCCCTCGCTGAGGGACACTGTATACTCGGCTCTGCTGAACACCGGAGGGTTGTCATTCACATCAGCAATGCTTATCATAGCAGCGACACTGGAACTTCTCTGGGGAACACCACGATCCGACACAACCACCGTGAGGTTATAAAATGGCTTAGTCTCAAAGTCGAGCCCCTCCGCTAGCAGTAGGTTTCCAACTGTTTGAAAGCCCCGCCCCTCCAGGAACCGCACACTGCTTTCAATCTGGAATGCATTTCCTTCATTCCCATTCGCAATAGCAAAGTCAAAGCCACAGTTTTCCCGTGAGAGGTCACTGTCGAAGGCCTCAAAGGTCAGAACTGTTGACCCTGGCATGGTGTCCTCTGAAACTGTAGACCTGAAAAGAGATCATGACCTGAATGAGGTAACTGCTTACGCTAAAGTACTTCAAGGTTTTAAGAAACATTGACTAACCTGTACTCAGACTGGTGAAACACTGGAGCATTGTCATTGACGTCAGAGATTTGAACTTGGATCGTCGTAAGGGAGGAGAGAGAAGGCTCACCTCCATCTCGAGCTTCAATGACAATGTTAACTGATGGGCGTTCAGGGTCAAACTCTGCTCTGTGATTGATGAACAAGGTCCCTGAAAACAAAGCATCAATCTTGGTATTGTGCAAAAACATGTTATAAATCACATTAAATAAAAATAATAATAATACAACTGATACAGTAATAATCATTTACCATTGCTGGGGTCAATGTAGAAGCCCTCCTGAGTCGAAGACATCACCCTGTAGGTGACCCTCCCATTATCTCCAGAGTCCCTGTCAGTTGCTGTTACTGTGATAACTGCACTTCCAGGTGGTGTGTGCTCAGGCAAGGTAACCTGGAGTGCAAAAATGTGAATAAATAACATTTGAGCTACAAAGCAAAAAGAAAATAAGACCCTTAACTGATCACATAAATACTGCCTTAAAATTCCCAAATCTATGGTAAGGAGGTCACAAAGTAGCACATTTTTAAGGGGGAAAGCTACTTTTTACAACACAGTTCCTGTTTTTCTTGTGTGCACTCGCGTTGAGGTAATTTCCTGAGACAGTTTATATAGGCTCATCTCTACAGCTTTTCTCCAGTTAAAATTAGGCAGTTAACTTTTATCACTCACAGTGTGTGCAAGAAGAGAATGTACATGTGGGGGTTTTACAGTCTGTGTCAGGTCCTTAGGTGCAATTTTTTGAGTTGTGTACTGGAGTGAAACAGTTTCTGAATAAAATTTATTTTGTGATAAAATGTTCTGAATGATGTGTCACTGATCGCGAGTATATCATTATGTGCATGTAATTTATAGAGTACATTTAAAGGAAATCATATAATAGAATAATTTATGTTTTCAAGCAACTGTTTTTAGGTGGATGTAGGATTTATTAGGACTATATACACACAGGAGTGGGAATTTTTTTTCTTGACTTACTTTATAGGCCAACCTACCTGATAGAGGTCATTGGTGAATGCAGGTGCGTTGTCATTAATATCCTCCACCACTATTGTAATGTTCGCCTCAGTTTGGTGCTGGCTGTCCGTGGCTCTGACAGTCAGGGTGTACCATGTCTTTTCCTCAAAATCTAAAGAACCAGTGAGGGATACGCCACCGCTGTAACGGTGAATCCCAAATTTGCCTAAAGYTGCCGGGTCAAGCTGCAAGGAGTAGGAAAGAGCAGGACTGGAGTCGACATCGTTTCCAGTCACAAGAGTGATCTCTGTGCCGATCAGTGTATCTGACAGAGAAAGAAAAGAAACACATTTGTTAGCTGAAATCAAAACTGGAAGCTGAACTGATAAAACCTTGTAAATGAATGCTTACTTTCTGGGATGCGAACTTCCTGGGGTAAGGGAATAGTTGGACTGTTGTCATTTTGGTCAACAATTATCACTGTCAGTGTGGCTGAACCAGCCAGTCGTGGACTTCCTCTGTCAGTCGCTGTCACTACAAGCCTGTAAATGATCAGAAAAAGAGTGCTATAATAAAGGGTAGTGAAATATGGAGCCCATCCAGTGGCATTTTATTAAACACAAAACGTGTAGCTACAGGATAATAACTCATGGCCACAAGGTAATGAATGCAATCATTTCCATGTAGAGACTGTTGATTGCCAACATGGACAAGTTTTATTTTAATATAGGAATGAAGGACATACTTCAGTCACTTGCAGTTAGGCATAGTAACAGCTAAAAGACAGAGGTAATGATTTGAGTTGTCTTTGTGCAAAAAGCTTTATTAAGTTCAAAACTCAAAACAGGCTCCTCTTCCACTCCATGCCTTTGCTGTGGAAGAAGTTGGAGTTATCGTTCAGGAGCACAGCAAAAACAATGTCATCTAATTAATACTAGTACCATGAAAACTTAATCATTTAGAAGTGTGGGGTACCTTTTACCAGTTAAAAATACAAACTGGCTGGATTGACTTGTCCACGGCCACTTCATATGTGTTTGTTAACCCTTGGTTATGATCCACTCAAAAATGAGATATTTTTTGTTTTGAAGTTAGGACATGAAAGGGTCCTAACTTTTTTTTTGTGTGTGTGGCCATTCACCTGTTACCACATTTATACATTGGTATGCCATTTTCCTAAACTGTACCTATTAAAGGTTTGTTTTTAAATTCTTATGTTTTGTCCTTACTTGGTCTGTGTAAAGATTTCACGGTCCATGATGGCTGCTGTGGTGATGCTTCCTGTGACGGGGTCAATCTTGAACAGGCCACTCATGCTTGATGACTGGATGGAGTATGTCACCTGACCGTTCTGGCCTTGATCTACATCCTCGGCCATCACCTAGATAGGGAGAGGACAGTGAAGAAAATGTTTTACTTGAAGCTAAATTTCCGTGCACCAAACACCAGTTTGATTTGCAATGCTTTGCAAGTTTGATAACTTTAAACACCTGTATGATTGGTGTTTCATATCCTTGTGCTTCTCTCATGTAGGCTACATAATTCTGAAGCTGGAATCGAGGAAGATTGTCATTGACATCCTGCAGGACCAAGTTAATCGCCATAAATGATGTGGAGGTCACGGTTTCAGCTTTTATAACAAGGCGAAGTCTGGGGGTRTCTTCAAAGTCTAGTCCCCTGGCACTCTCCACCCAGATTTCACCTGGAAGAAACACGGAAAGAGGAAAATGCAAGTGAAAAAGGAGGCTGATTAGTCAGTTTGGTATCTGTGTGTATGCGGATGATTCACAAGCATTTTTGATTTTACATCTTTTGGGATTTTAGAAAGAAGTACACTAGTATTTACCTGTTGATGAGCTAATGCTGAAAGCCTGCTTTTTGTTTCCACTAAAAAGTCTATAACTAATTCCGTTATGTGTGCCATCTGGATATTGGGCCTGAGCCTGAGCCACAGCTGTGCCTGGAAATTTAAACGAAAGAAAATATTCCTTAATGGTGACAGCAAAGAAACTGCAAAAAAACCTCATAACATCAACATGGTACATGTGAAAGTTTAGAACTTTAAATAATATCCCCCAACCTTTTGCAGCGTTTTCTTGAATGCTAACGTCTCTAGCGTTCCTAGAAAAGCGAATGCCGTTGTACTCCACTTCCTTCACATAAATCACCACCACTCCTTGTGCAGACTGAGCTGGGCTGCCTTGGTCCATGGCCTCCACTATCAGGGTCCTCTGAGCCTGGGTCAGATCTCGTAGTGGCTTGGTGGCTTGAATCTCCCCAGTTAGGGAGTTGATGCTGAAGCCCTGCACAGGGGCAGCGAAGCGATAAAACACAGAACCGTTGGCTCCGAAGTCCTTATCTTCGGCCTTCATGGTGGCTAAAACCCGCTGGGAGCGCCTGCTGGATACTTCAACGATCAATGGATCTTGGGTGAAGAAGGGAGCGTTGTCATTGATGTCAAGGATTGTGATTATCACCTGGAAGATTAAAGTGAAYAAAGTAAAAAAATGCTAAAAAGAAGAACTTAAAAATGTCACATGAGAGTTGACAGAGACTCTCTTACTGTAATCCATATTATACCTGAGCAGAGGAGTTCCTGGGTGCAGCAGGTGAAAGGTCAACAGCAAACACCTGGAAGCTGTATGAGGCCAGTTTTTCACGATCCAGAAGAGCTGAGGTGGTGATCCGACCAGTGTCCTCATCCACGATGAAAGCTCCATGTGCCTCTTGGCTGATGAAATATAGCACCTTACCATTAAAGTCCTCATCAGCATCTGTTGCGGACACCTGCAAAAGAATAAATGGCAAATATTGTGTCAATAAACTGTTCTCAAACATTTAACGAGCTGATTTGTTCTCCATGACTTGCCTCAAGAACTTGAGAACCTTCTTTAGCATCCTCTGACACTTCCGCTGAGTAGCTAACTCTCGTGAAGACGGGGCTGTTGTCATTGACATCCAGCACTTTAACTTGCACCGTTGCAGTGGCGCTGAGAGCAGGACTGCCCCGGTCTGTGACCACCACCTCCAGGTTGTACTCTGCCTTTCTCTCCCTGTCAAGCCCACGCGAGGTGGACAGGGCTCCTGTGCTGGCATGGAGCTGGAAATCTCCTTCAGGGTCTCCAGCTAGATTTATTTTAGAAAAAAAATCAGCAAATTTAAGAACCATTTGGAAGAGAGAACTGTGAGCAGGCTAAGATTATAAAGAGATTGCTGTTTCTCACAGGCGATTCTGTACTCCAGTTCTCCACCAGGACCTAAGTCTGGATCTGTGGCCTTGAGGGAGCAAATCACTACAGGCTCCTGGTTTTCCGGCACTTTGAGTCCATACCACATCTTTGCAAAGACCGGAGCATTGTCATTCACGTCTTGCACCTCCACACGAACTACAGCCTTGGCAAAGTTAGGAGGCAGCCCTCCATCTCTGGCATAGACTGGCAAGAAATGAGAAGCATTGACTTGACAAATCCCACACTATCAAATTAAAGTGCTGCTTTAACAGGAGGTTTTGCTAAATAACAAATCATAGTTGTGAAAAAAGGCATTAGGTACCAGTAAGAGTGTAGTGATTTTGAATTTCTGTGTCCAGTTCCTTTGTGGTGGTGATAACTCCTGTTACAGGGTTGATGATGAAGCCATCTTCTGTAACACCTCCATATGTTATCTGACCATTAGAGCCTGAATTACAAAWAAGAGGCAGAACACATTATGAGACCAATAATGGCAAAATATCTAAAAGAAAAGCAGGAATCTGGGTGATGGCTGTGACATGTTTTATTAGCAAAACAACTGTGTTTTTTTAAAAGATTTGTTTTGTTTCAATCAGCTCTATTCAACTCAACCGCTGTGCTTTTTATTTGTACATACTGTATAAAGTTTAATCACAATTTTGTTTCAGGTTTCATGACTTGATTGTGTCCAACATTCTCAAATATTTCAGAAAACGTTAATATTAAAGAAAATAGTTCCTGTCACAATCTGTTTTTAATCTTTACCTTTTAAATAGATTTTTGGAAGTATTTGTTTCAGTTTTCTGTGATTTACTGCTAGTTTTGGTGGTATGATTTATTTGTATTGTAGGAACAGTATTTAGTTTTGTGTCATCATCATTACTTCTAGAAGCCTTCAAAAAATTTTCCCCCCAGATTCTCATATATCTTTCTTTTATTAGTAATCAGTGCACCCATTGACTATTATCTCATTTATATGATTCACTTCCTGAAATGTCCAAGAAGAAAAATTGTGGCAAATTATGGACAATTTATTCTACGCTGTTTAAGGAGAGTTTCTTTCCAGTGCATATTTGTAGACAATAACCTAAGTTTTTACATTATCAACACTCTACTGCATGCCTAAAGAATGTACTTATCTGAATACTGCAAGACAGGGTTTAAAATGTACTTTCCGGACACTGAGAAAAAGACACTAAAACAAACATTCTTTTATGAAATGTACATATCAGGACAATTAATTTGTCTGATAAAAAATACCATATTTTGCTAATAATGTGTGTGTTTATGACCACAAACTAACCTTGCCACAATAAATGACATTTGGCTTGGTAACAGGTCGTTAATAAGGTTAAAAATTATGTTCATCAGAGGCGGTCTTTAAACAAACCTTGGTCCCGGTCAGTTGCAGTTACAATCAACACTGTGGTTCCTGGGCCTTGATTTTCCATCACCTGAGTCTCAAACTCTGCTTGCTGGAACACGGGAGTTTCGTCGTTCACATCGATCACCTGCACACACAACACCTGGGAGGTGGAGAGCGGAGGCGAGCCATGGTCCTCTGCTATGATTGTTAAATTATAAACTTCTTGCTCTTCCCGGTCCAGGGCTTTAAGGATAGAGAGCGAACCTGAAAGAAGTAAAAACGTTTTTATTATTATTATAATTTCTTTTTTTWAATAATTTAATTTAAAACGGAAATAATTGTATCAATGGTAAACTTTAAAATCAGATTCAATGCAACAAAAGAAACAAATTTAAAATGTGTCAAATAATATTATTTGTCCTTCCCCTGAGTTGCTGGCTTTAAGTAACTGTGGGATCCTGAGCATATTTGTTGAACAGCCCTAAACAAATATCCCAAAATAAGCTGCTTTAAAGCCAGCAATGACCATAAACTACATCTCCCATAATGCATTGTATATGGGAATTCCCCGTCAAAAAGTGGGCGAGTTCAGAATTCAAGATGGCAGCAACTCAGCACAACTCAGTGATTGAAACACTCTTAATTTCAATAATATTTCTGTAGTATTTATTTCATGATAGTACACGTAGTACTTTTCAGTGTTTAAAGGAGGACTTGTTAAAACACTGTTTATATGCAGGACATACCACGTAGAGCTCAGTTATTGTTTGTTAGCGGTGTTCAGCTGTAGCAATGAGATGAGGAACGTAAGGTTTCATGTTTGGTTAAACAAAAGTTACTTAAATGACCTTTTGAGGGTCACTATAACCCATTTGTTTTGAAGTTGGTGATATTTTTTTCTGTTTTAAACTATAAAAAAAATCACAGCTAATTGTTTTATTTCTTACCATATATTAATTTCTTGCTTTTTGAACATGCATTCGAATCTGTTTGCCTTTGAATCTTTAAAGCACAAGTGAATGTGTGTAGCTGAAGCTGGAGTCTGTGAATTACACCTCAACTACTCTCATTCTGGCTTCAGTTGCTTTCCTACCTTTTATGTCTCCATCCAACAGCCCTGTCATCACACAAACTATTAAGAGGGTCAGCCACAGTGAGAGAAAAAAAAAACAAATAAGTGCGTATGTGTGTTTCACAGCAGTGTGCGAGTTTGGTTGCATTGCCTGAGAGACATGTAATTTATAATTGCCACGGTGGGCCAAAGACACACTGTGGGATGTTTTGTGAGGCTGAGGTGCTGACTTCTCTGTGGGGACCTGCTAGCTCAACTGTTTTAGTTAAAAGCAGATGCAAGGAATCTTATGTTCTATTATTTCATAGCTCAACCTAGCTGATACAGTTTCTATAAAAAATAAATTTAAAAAAGCAGTTTAACCTTCAGCTTCATAGTGATTTACATGAAAAATAAATATAAATGTCAGATAGAATTTTTTATTTTTATAGCAGCAAGCAAACGATGCCTAAAGGATTTTGTTAATGATTTAAATATTGGTTTAATTATGCTTTAAATGCTAAAATTTGGAACCTATTGGTCACAAATAAATCTTCAACTACTCAAGAACATATAAAAGAACTTTGAAAAAAAACACTGGCTTGAACAAAGTTAATAAAACCAAGTTAAATCAATGTGAAGTGGCAGAAAGCTGGCGTAATAAATGTGCTATTTTAAGGAGTAATCAATCTAATGACACTTTTCACATTAGCTAACCAGTTTGGCACACGTCTTCATAACACATGCTAATCCACCATTATGGCTCTTAATAACTAAAAGCTTAACACCACAAAGTCTGAGAATCAAACCATAAGTGAAATCCACCCACAAGACAGTTGAAAGTAATGACGTACAGACTTTCTTCCATCTGGAAGCTGCATTATGTGCTTTTTTTTATAGTTTTTAAGCCAAACCCAGAGCTCAACACRCTTCCAACACCCAGCTCCAAAAGAAGACAAAACTCTGCTTCAATGTATAAAAGTTTTTAAGGGCTGTCAACATTCCTATACTCCAAATCATGTGTCAAACACAAGGCCCACAGGCCAAATGTGGTATGCAACAGCATTTTATTTGGCTTGCAAGATCTTCAAAGATGCATTAATGTCTTAAAATAAGTGTATGGTTCAGACTTGGTGCATATGAAGAAGTTCGGTGGACAAATTACATTTTCTGGAAAGTGTTGTTCATCTATTAAGTTTGCATGATGTCAAAAATCGACCCTGTTGTCCATTAAGGAAAGCCATCTTACCAGTGTTGGGGTTCAGACTGAAGTGACCAGCACTGTTGCCTGCCCGGATTTTGTACAAAACTCTGCCATTTTCTCCTTCATCTTTATCTCGAGCCACCACATACAAAATCACAAACCTGTCCAGAAAAAGACAAATTATAACAAAAAACTCCTCCAGCAGTTTTCGAGCTTGGGATTGTGACGAGTTAATTATTTTTTAAGGGAAACTTACCCTACAGGTTGATCCTCCATGACGCTGACTGCAGACGGAGAGCTAAAGACCGGAGCGTTGTCGTTTTCATCGGTCACGAAGAGCCGAGCGGTGACTGAACCCCATCGTCTCTTGGTAGGATCTACTGCCTGGTCAGTAGCTCGCACCACAAGGTAGAGGGAGGGTGTTGTCTCGCGATCTAACTTCTGCCSCAGGGTCAGGACACCGCTTGAAGGGTCCAGGACCAGGAGATCGGATGTGTCGGGCCATTGGTGCTCAATGGAGWAATGCAGCTCACTGTTGGGCCCACTGCCATCCTAAACAACAGAAGTGACCAAATGAATTGTTAATGTACGATGTTCGCTTTAAAAGTATTTGTATCTGTATCCAAAACTTTACAGTTACTTGTTAGTATTAGTATTTGTTTCTTACCTGATCCACAGCCTGGAATGCATAAATGGAAGCCCCTGGCTCTATGTTCTCTGGGATTACAATTGTAACAGGATCCTCTGAGAACTCAGGGGCGTGGTCATTACTGTCCTGCACGTTGATCTCCAGCTTCACCAGGTGGCTGCTGGGAAACACCTGAGAGAAGTCCGACACTTCGACGTGCAGCGTGTATCTCGACCCTTTCTCGTAGTCCAGCTCACGCACCAGGTACACATCGCCCTTGATCCGGTCTACCATAAAGGTCCCRTCTCGATCAGTCCCTCCCACTGCTAGGTAGGTCACCTGGCCCTCCAGCACAGCAGATCCCTGCTGGTCGACTGGACGCACTGAGCCGATGATGGAGCCAGGAGCAGTCCCTTCAACTGTGTTCAGGGTCATAGAGAGGACGTTTGGCGTTGAGACTGACCTGGACGAGCTGAGAACCTTAAAATGAAGGAAACGAGAGTCAAACAGGCTCAAATTTGAGGTTTTTCTTGTAAATTTCTTTTGCTTAAAAATGGTGACTCAGATCACAATCATAGTGGATTCTTTTCCCTAATCAACCATACATCTGAGCCAAAACACACTGAATCAAAGTTTAGAACTTTTCAATGTATCATTTTAATGAAGCATAAGGCAAGTGCTGTTGTATGTTACTGGATCGGATTTCTTTTGATATTCGGCAGACAGTGCGGCCATAAGACTCTCATCCCAAACTATCATAAAACATGGCCTTGAGGTACAGTCTGTTTTCACTTGGTGGTCATTACTATAATAACCCTCAAAGGCATTTTGCTGTACATGAAGGATTAATGTGCAATTTTTTCCAGTAAAATATCCTGACACTGGGGCATTCTGACTCCAGCTGGKGAGTTTGTGACCTAAAACAACAACAAAAAAAGAAGGGTTTGGTAAAAGGAAAGCCATAAACACTATTATTCAAATAATGCAGAAAAATAATCCAATTCTACATGCTTCAARTGGAACAAGTATGTGCCAGAGGTACTTTAAACAGCTTCATGAGTTGGGATAAATCAAAAAAGCTCTGATGACAGCAAGAAAAAGTTGTTAACTATCCTGTTTTATTTACAATTACAACAATAAAACATCATTTAAAAAATACACACACAGGTTTGTATTTCTATTCTTATTAGGACCATTCATTGACTCATATTCATTTCCAGTTGTAGCCTTACCCTGACCCCTACCTAAACTCCACACCTTAGTCTTAAACCTAACCCAAAAATGGAGGATTACGTTATAAGGACCAGTCTTTGGTCCTCATTAAAAACTACTGGTCTTGACAAGGTAGTTGTGTATACCAGATATGGTCCAAAAAGGTAACAAATACAAGGACACCACACACACACACACACACACACACACACACACACACACTTTTTAAAATAAATTGTGTATTCTCAAAAGGTTAATTATCTCTTAAAAACATCTCAACATGTGAGATAGTTGCTAAATGCTGTGGGGATGAAA